CAGCCCCACTTCCAGCTTTTTGGTAGTTAACTGGAGATAAGAGTCTCATAGACTTTCCTACCTAGGCTGGCTTAAAATTACAATCCTTGGATCTCCTGAGTAGCTATGATTTCAGGCATGAGCCACAGATACCTAGCTTCAGGTGTGATTATTGAGTATTTGAGATGTAGCTCATCTAACTGGGAATTGCATTTTCTTATTTTGATTACTTTAGATGGAAATTTAAAAAGCCACGTGTAGCTAGTAGCTACTGTTTTACACAATGCAGATCTAGGTCCTTGTTCTTCACAGCTGTAAAATGAGGCTTAATAATAGAATAGCACCCAACTTTCTGGGCACAAAATAAAATAAGGCAATGCATATGAATCCTTTGGCATGGTTTTTGGCACATGGTTAAATAGATTCTAGTAATGTTTATCCTCTTTGAGGACTTAGATCTCTTAGAGAAATGGATAAAACCAAGAACCTTATTTCAGAATATATCCATCACAAACACATACACAAAAGCACACACACATACACAGAGCATATTACACACGTGCACACACCTGCACACACATACACACACACACACACACACACACACACACACATTTTCTAGCTGATTTTAAAAGACTCCTGTGCCCAGCTTCTATAGAATGTGCAAGTTCTTCCTTGTTGAAATTCTCCAGGGCTGTGAGCACACGGTGCCGACCTGTCTCCTCTCTCCCTGCCAGGCTCAGGCAGCTCAGGAAACCCTTCCCAACAGGAGGACACTCAGGGCCAAGCACAGAGGCAGGGCTTGGAAAAATCCTCGCGCCTGGAGGGTAGGCCTAGGGCAGGGGCAACAGCATGGATTCCGTGAGCTCATCCCAGCAGCCGTCACCAAGTTCCCAGAGAGGCCAGTGGCGTCAGGAGGGGGTGACTGGGTGGGAGCCGCGGTGGTGGCTGCGGCGGCAGCTAGGGGTGTGGGGCGAAGAGAGGGAAGCTAGATGGAACACGCTATAATAGCGGCTTTGTGCTCCGCTTCCCAAGCTCCCTGGGAACGCCAGGAAGATTATGAAACCCGGTGTCTTTGGGAATGCCAGGATATTAGCTGGAAAAAGAATAATACGAAAATAAAATAATGCTCGGGATGGAGACAGCAGACGATTAGCAGACGGAGCCAGGGCTTCCCGCTCCATGAAGGGAGCCAGGCTTGGCCCCAACAGAAGGCTTCAGGGAAAGACTGCCCGTGCTAATGAGCAGACAGGGCCTGCCTTCCAAAGAGACGTCTTCCAGAGGGAGCTAGCAGGCAAGGCCCAGACTGCCATAGATACACAGGCCAGGGAGAGGGGGAGGGGGCAGGAGACAAGGAGCACCCAGGTCTGGTCCTCAGGCCTAGACATTCAAATCATCATCACCAGGAAGGCTACCTGAACACTACTCACTGATCTTCCTTCCCTTCCCTCACCAGCCACTCTGGAATGACTTACTCTCTGTCCAGCACTCCAAAGATAAGACTTCTCCAAGTTTATTTACACTCTCTCATCCTGAAATCCTCATTGGCCTAGGAGGTCTCCACCATCAAATTGGGCCATCAGATCATTTCTTGCCTTACCTCTCTATCAGGACTGTGACTATACATGTACCTACAATCAAGTACAGATGCCAGCCTCTCTCAGAAAAGCATCCAACAGGTGGGCTACTGTGAGTCCCTCCTAGGACTACAAGATGCACTACATCCTTGCATAGCCTCATTATCAGAAGATGGCCCTCGGGCCAGCCTCCTCAGCATTACCTAGAAGCTTGTTAGACAGAGAGACTGTGGGCCCCACCCTGACGCTGAATCAGAGTCTACGTCTTGACAAGATCCCAACTGGCTCTCTTGCTCATTAAGTCTGAGAAGCCATTCTTTACAAGTGTCACTGTTAATCCTTACAGTGATGCTAAGATGGGTGAGGAAACAGTGTGAAAGGCGAGAGGGCCCTGGCCTCAGCTAGAAAGCACAAAGCATGGAATCCCCAGCTTAGATTCTGCACACTCAGAAGTCTTGCTGTCCCACCACATCCCACAAGACATATCAGCAGACATCATGGGTATATGTGCAACAGCAAGCTCCTAGCCCAGAAAACATAACCATTCATCCCAAGATGTAGTAGACTTGACCCCCAATCCCTGAGGGAGGAATCAGTATGTCTAGAGCCAGAGCAAAGGGACCCAAGACTGTCCTTTGTCCTATAAAGCTGACCACAGAAGGGAGCATAGCATGTGGAATGACTGTATCTGCATTAGAACTGATGAGGATCTAGACAGAATGGTCTAGACAGTTATGAGCAAATGGGCTTGTGGCTCTGTCTAAATGCCGGACACCTAAGGATTTCTGAAAGTGTAGTTTCAGATTCCAGATCTGTGAGACTCACTATCTCAAACCACTGTCTGTCACCCTTGGATTCTCTGTGTCAGCCAAGTTCTCAGGAGACTCAGGAGTCTCCCCTGGATAGCTCTCTGTTGTATGTCACAGCCAGTCACATTTGAACTGTCATCCATCACCCTTGTACATCTGTTGACTTGACACTTGAGTTCAGTGATCCCTCATGACATTTTCTCCCACATAAAGAATAAATTAATTGGTTTCTCTCTTCTGGGAAATGTTTCCCCATTCTCCCAGTCACCACATCATGAAAGCTTGGCAGTGGGTTCCTCAGTCTTGCTCGCCTCCTCCTCCAGCCAGAGTAGCACCCCTACCAAGTTAGCCTTGGCAGGAATGAAGCCCACTGGGAACACTTCCGGCAGCCACATTGTGAACCACCTTCCAGCCAGCCTCAGTGTCTGTCTACATGCCTGCAGGACTCTTTGGCCTTGCTCTCCCCTTACCTACCTCCCTGCCCTGGTCTGCCTGGCAGGCAGCCACCAGATCTGCCTTCCTCACACAGCACTGCACTGTATGTCAGACTTGCCAGGGCCAACAGTGAACTCATTATAGCCCCAGGCCTGCCTTGCAACCTGGCACTGTCAGTGGCCCCACTACTGACCCTTCTCTCACTATGCCCCGCCACCTGATCTCCCTCAAATTGGCCCAACAGCTCTCACCCCAGAAGTCACCTCATCCTTGGATTTCCATCCCAAACTCCTGATGATCTGAAAACAGGAAGTTCTCCCTCTCAACGCTCTTCCATAGCTACTTGATTACAGGTCTTAATGCCTCCCACTTTGAACCAAAGCATTCTTCTGGACAACAACCCATAGGGACTACCTAAGACTCAATGAATAGAGTCCAGGGCATGTCACCTGGAGCTATTTACCTGGCATGGTTTCGAGTTTCTTTTCCATTTCAGAAGCTCTTCTCCCCAGCTTAGTAATATTGTCCATCACAAAGCTGGCACATGGCCCAGGGTAGCCAATCAGGACCCTCCATTCCTCCCCAGCACAGAACCTGACTAGGTGCATGACCAGGCAGAGCCAGTCCTTTACATAAGATCTGTCCTGGGACTGTTGAGAAAGTGGCACTCTGTGATGTGGTTTGCATCTAGAAGGGCTTAGTGGACTGTGAAGATAATGCCAGCACCATCTTCCCTGGCTATCATGAGAGAGCCACCGTGCGATGAGGCCAAGACAGAGAAGTAAGTCCCAGGGACACTCCATTTCCTGCCACCTGGCATCCCTCCAGGCCAACTTTCCAGAAGCCCCTTTTCTCATCAGCTCATTTGAGTGTCATCTCTGTCTGACAGAAACACATCTGGATTTTCAGTCCTGGCCTTCTTCGGTGCAGCCACTCAACCATCCTGAAGCCCAAGACAAACCCTTTCTGACTGAAACCAAAGGCAGTCACCAAGCACCAGCCTTTCTCCTATCCAGTCCACAGCTGCACCTAGTTGTTCCTATCTGGCTGGAGACCAGTTAACAACCCAGAGGTCCAGGACTTTGCTTCTCCCCACAAGGTCCCCACATATGTGGCCCAGACCTAGAGAAGACTCCTCTCTAGGAGCCGGTCACAACTGCTCTGACAGCTCCTGGACACCAAAGGTTGCCTCTCCTACACTGCCACCATAAGGCCTGCCTTCTATCAAGTCTGGAACTACCAGGCCGCTCTCGCAGTGTCTTCTCTTGCTTCCATCCCATCAGGCCCTGGGGCCTGCCCTATTAAGACTCCCAGAACCCACACGGCTGTTTGTCCCATGGATGGATACATCCTTGGTCTAGACTAGATGTACATATGCACAAACATGTCTAGCTTCACAGGAACAGCTTCAAGTCCCCTCAAGAAGTACAGTTGGCAGGACTAGTCTCCAAGGTCCCAGCCTAGAGTCTCCACAGAAGATACACAGTTCTGGTCAGATTTCAGAGGAAACATCTCATTCAGGCCTCTCATTTCCACCTCCAGTCATTCCTAGACCAGTAAAGCAAGAAGCTGGCTGTATGCCTAATCATCTCTTTTGGGAAGCCCATTGCCCAAATCCTGAATAACGCAGAGCAGACCCCAAGACCACCCACTATATAAAATAGACACAAGGTCAGGACAGCCATCCAGGAACTTAGTTTCTAAGATACATTGTTCCCTCAAATCTTGGGGGGGGGGAGCCCATGAGACATCCTGTCTCATGAGGATGCATGTCCAACTGAGGACCTTCCAGAGGTGCCAGACTTTCGTGGCTACAGCTATGAGTGAGACTGAGGCTTCCCCTCCTACCTCCACGTTAGGCGGCCTCTACAGGAAGCACTAGGTGCTTTGGCCCCAGGCCTGGGTCAGACCCTTCGATGCCAAAGCCATCTCCTTCCCTCTCTGCTTCCATCTTGACCACTCCAGGAAGCAGTGGGTCTTCCAGTGCCAAGAAGAAAGCTGTTTTATTTTACAAGGACACCCAGCCTGCTGCTCACTTTTCCCACTTGCCACCCCACAGGGATCAAAGCCAGGACAACTGGCCAACATCTGTCCAAAGGCCCTAACCCAGGGGGTTCTGTGCCTACCCCACATCACCCCAGAACAGCCTTGGGAAAGGGAGCCACGCCCCACCCAACCCAACAGGCACAGCCACACCTACCAGGGCCCCCTCGAGGGCAAACACAGCAGCAGGCCCTGTCTTCTCCAGGGGCTCCATGCGACGGCGCCAACGGCGGCGGCGAAAGGCGTCAGTCTTGCGGTACTCCAGGTGAAACTTCCAGCCAAAGAGAGAGGCGTACTCCCAGCCCTCGCCCTCTGCCTCTGCCTGCCTGTGCTACACCGGAGAAAGGGCAGACTCAGAGGCTGATTGGCAGGTCCTGGGATCTCCTGGACCCGTCTCAGGTGTGCCTTCCTATCCTGCACTACTCCCCACCAGCTCCCACACCAGCACCCTCCTGGTGGGAAAATCTGGAAGGACCAGTGGGAGGAGAGGGCTTTGAGTAGCCTAAGACCCCTAGATAGAAAGATCAAGAGGGAAGAGGCTCTGTAGGCTGAGGGGAAAGTCCAACTGCTGAGAACGCAGGAAGGGAAGGTGGACTGCAATTGTGAAGGAAATTGGGCACTGGGGCTGCTGTTTAGTTGAATTATGGGTGGATTGCATGAATCCAAGGTTTTCTTGTCATTTCCGTTTTCGTCTTCGCATCCCGGCTTATAAAAATGGAAGTAGGTCTGCGGTTCAGAGGCAACACAAAGATCTTGCCTCTCAAACTCAGCCTATCCCTCCCCAGGAAGGGGCACTTAAGCTAGCTGTGGAGAGATCTCTGATATGCTCTTGGAGGACACCCTTTCCCAAGTCTACAGGGACACCGGAACCTCCTGTCCCAGCACCTAGCAAAGAGTAGCTTGGGACCACTCAGTCCAGGCCACTGGTATAGTGAAAAGTCCTATAAGCCAGCTGTGTCCCCTCCAAGGAAGAGGACGAGACACTCATTTTTTGGTCAGGCTCCACTTCTACCAATTGAGTGCCCCTCTGCGGGGAAGCTGTGACCTGGTCCGTAGAATCTGAACAGATTGGTTATCAAAAAATCTTTGGCTCAGGCTGGCTGCTGATGGCTCACAACTGTAATCCTAGCTATTTAGCAGACTGAGATTTGAAGATCGCAGTTCAAAGCCAATCCAGGCAGCAAAGTCCTTGAGAGTCTTATCTCCAGTAAACTATTCAGAAAAGACTGGAAGTGGCCTGTGGCTCAAGTGGTAGAGCACTACCCTTCAGCAAAAGAAGTTCAGGGACAGTATCATGGCCCTGAGTTCAAGAACCAGGACCAGAAAAAAAAAAAAAAGAACTCCTTACCTCTGCCCAAATCCCAAACCCAGAGATAATCTTCTCTAGGTCTCTACTCAAAGCTAGAAAATGAAACCTGGATCATGACAAATGCTAAGCTTAGCCTGGGGAAATGTCTGGTTCTTGGCCCAAAATTCAAATGTATGCTTGGGAGGGATGGCTATAGACCAAGAGAGCCCAGGGAGACAGGCACTGAGGCTATATGGAACATGGGCAGCTGTGGACCCTCAAGCAAATGGGTATTCATGCATAGGCACTTTGGGCTAGTCTGTTCTGTGACATCTGCACATGTTCTAAGGTAAACATTAATGGAGTCCATCCCAACCCCTACACCAGCCAACACATTTTCTTGTGCATGAATCTAATTCTAAGGGGCTATCTGTTCCAGGGAGCTGTCCACTGCTAAAGAGTCAACCTCACTAGATAGGTATGTGCCCCAGGATAGTCTAGCATCCCTTAACCAATGACAGACAGCCAAGAAGTTATAAGCCCCTCTCCATTTCCTTCAGGTAAGAAGAGGTATGCTGTGCCCCCTCAGGACACATCCTTGTCTCTCACCCTCCTGAGAGCACAGATACAAAATCATGAAGACAAAATCATGCTATAGCTAGGAAGCCAGGCCTAAGGCACCTCTGTACCTTCTGGGGCTGTATAAACTAGGCTTCTCCGTGTGTTATACAACAGTTTGTGGGTATCTGTGTGTGTGTGTGCTAGTGATATGTGGGTATTTGTATATACTGGGTATGACCTACGGGAGGATGGAATGTGTGTGTGTTTATGTGTTGGATGTGACGTGTGGCCATATGCATACCTGCATGTATTTGTATCACACAGGTCTGCACCTGTGCCCCTGGGGCCTCCCTCCCCTCCACCACTGGCCGCTCACTCTCTTCAAAGCTTCCATCTGGCTGAGGTCCCTCCTGCGCAGGCGGACCCAGCGCCTCCGTCGGTGTGTATAGTACATCTTCTCAGCAGGGACCCAGTGCCTTGGCTTCCGGTCCGGGGGAATAGTGATGCTGTACTCCCAGCCTAGGGAAGAGGCAAGTGTCACTCACTGTCCAGCTCCTCATGTCTTCTGGCCAACATGCACACAGACTCAGAGGCATGCACATGGTAGGGATGCTTCCTACCTTGCTCATCAACGGCCCGATTGAGGTCTGTGGACCATTCTTCATCTTCCCACTTCCAGCCCACTGGACACTCGATGTCATCCTTAGGAAGCACCTTCTCCCCATTCTCAGGACAAAATAGAATAGATAAGGGTCAGAAGATACTAATAGACCTTTTCAGGATCCCAGAAAAGAAGCTCCAGACAGAGGGTAGAGCTTGTGTGAATAAAAATCACCATCCTTCTGGAAACCAGAGCATGGAGGCTCAGTAGGTAGAATCAGGGCAGAAAATCTCCCAGCCTTCCTTGAGCTCTCTTGGGACTAAAATGTCCAAGGTACCAGGGAAAACTGATCCTACTCCCACCCCACCCGTTGACATTCCCCTTACAACATCAGTGTAGTTGTCACTCATGTAGATCCACTGGCCTCCAGGGAGCCGGGTCTGGTTCTCAAACACTTCCTCCACGAAGCTCAGATGACCAGCATCAGCATCATGAAGCAAGCTATGGGAAAGGACCAGTCAGAGCCATACTAACGAGACCCCTACTCATCCACTACCACAGAGCAGTGCACAGACCTGATTATAGGTAAAGGACCATGTTGCTAGAGCTAAAGAAAAAGAGACCAAACACCCCAAATCTGGTAAGACAGTTAAATCCCAATAGATATTTATAGAAATGTAAAATGTTACCAAGCTATGCCCTTAAGCTTTGAGTGCTTGACTGTATAGGTTACATTTTATATATTTTTTAAGTTGTTGAACGTTGGCTAAATAGGGAGAGGAGAAAAGGATAGAGCTGGCCAAAGTGGAAGGGGAAGCCAGTATAAATCTGGGAAGGGCTGAGAGAAAGGACCACCCAGGGGTGGATAAGCCGCCAGGAACACAAAGGGTCGCCTGTGCAAGGTGCAAGGGTCTTAGTCATGGTATCATGGAAGACAAGTCCACATCACTGGGAACAAAATTCAAGGGAGACTTAATAATGAAGGACTTTCTGAGTGTTAAAAGCCTTCCAGAAAGAACGCTGCCTAGTGAACCCCAGTCAAGTCCAAGTGGCAGTTTCCATTGCCAGTGCATGTGCAGGCAGAGGGACTGACAGAGCAGAGGTTTTCAGAGAAAGGGCCAGGGCAGAGAAAGTGGTCACTGGTGGCAGCCTTGCCCGTGACTCACGTCTTCTCTGGACACACGAACCAATCTCCTGCCCAGGCCCATCCAGTCGAGGGACGGAAGCTGTCCTTGGGTAGCTTGATCTTGCCCGTGACATCAGAAAACTTGGGGTATGTGAGGCCCGTTGTGCCCCAGTTTCCAACCAAGGCCAGCTTGGTCTGGTTCTCATACTGTAGGGTGAGGAGAAGTGAGGGAGAAGTGAGAAGCTCCAGGCGGGCAGGGAGTGATGAAGGGGTCAAAGGTGGGCTTGGCAAGCACTCACCGTTTCAGCAAAGACAGAGAGCTTCCCCTCAGCAAACTGGTTGAACTCCTTCTCATCCACAGAGAGCCCAAACCAGAGCTTGACTCGTATCTGCACTGGCATTCTGGCTCCAGGCACTGCCTCCATTGGATACTGGATGTCAGAAAAGCACAGAAACCCAGGTCCTTCTTCAGGATAAGCCTAACCAAAACCTGGGCTCACCAGACCAAAACCCCATCCATGAGCCCTCTGCAGATAGGGCCATATATAGACCAGAATCCCTCCTCTCCCCGCTCCTGCCATTGCATTTCCATTCTCTTCTAGAACCTGTTCAGAGATACTTTGGGCTTCAGTGGAAATGGTTATCTGCTCTGTCCAATATGGTGGCCACTGACCACTTAAAATGTGGCAGTGTGACTGAGGAACTGAACTCTTATTAGTTTTATTTGATTAATTTAAATGTAAATATCTATATATGACTTCCATATTGGACAATACCATGCTAGAATTTGTCTCTAAAGGAGAAACCATGATACAGATCTAGAAGAGAAAGAAATGCAAACCACTTCATTTCATTCTCAGCATATTATATTTTGTCTAGACACTAGTAGATCATCTAATACCCCTATGTTTTCAAGTGCTTATCAGCCTGATAACCACTATTGTTTCAACTGCTTTTTATCCTGAAATGTTCAGAGGTGCTGCCAAAATGAAATGACCACAACAACCCAACATTTTAAAAAATAATAATTCTCTACAATTAAATCCATCCATTTGACTGAAAACAAAGATCAGATGTGGCCTAAAGAAGTGAAGTTTCCCACTCTTAGAATAACACACTGGCCCCCAGAGGCGGTAACACCTAAATTGCCCAGATCTGGTGTGCAGAAGCTCCCCAGGAGGGGACAGGGAGCTGAGGGTAAGGAGAAGCAAATTTGAGTGGGTTCAGAAAAGGAAAGTGAGGTGTCATAGTAAGAGGTGCAAAGCTGATGAGGAAGGAGTGGACTCCTGGAGGGAGACAGGAAAGGTTTAGGAGGAGGTGCCAGTCATTTCCCAGGTCTTCTTTTGGTTCCTCCTGGGTGTTCCTTAAGGAACACCCCCCCATCCCATGTGACACTCCTTGAAAGTGCCCCCCATGGAAGTTCACTTCAGCTGTCCTCTCCATGAGATGGTTAGCTGCCTTCTCCCCCCACCCCCAAGCCACCAGCCCCAGACATGGCAGGAATGCCTGACCCCACCCCCCTCTTCCTCATCCACCCCAATCTCTCCCTGCCCTCCCCCAGACGGGGCCAGCCTGCCTAACCCAAAATAGCAACAGCAAATAAAGAAATGTCTAGTTTGGGGCTTCTCTCCTTTTCTGCTGGTGCTCATTTTTTCCAACTTTGGTTTAAGTTAAGAAACACCAATGTTTTCTTGGTCTCTACTTGCTGCCAACATTTTTGTAGAGCTTGCTCAGGAGCTCCTGGCGGGGCTCATAAACTCAGTGGGGAAGACTTCGAGAAACAATTCTATATCTTTTTTTGCTTTGGAGTCAGGGGAATATTTCAGTTTGCATTTCCCTAAGGCTTCAAGGTCAAGAGGTGAGAGCCAGAGAGCAATAGTTGCAATGCACGACGTCCTCACTCCTGTCTGCTCCCACCTCCCTGACCAGCCCATTAGAGGCGGCCGCTCTTTGACGTCTCTTTCCATCCTTATGGGAAGAGGTTACACTTTGGAGGGAGATTTGTGGTCAGGATTTAAGGGTAGAGTCCCACAGGGGACGTCCCCTGGATAGCAGGTGAGCAGGTGAGATAAAGAAGTCTGCTGGCCAACAAACACAGATGATGGGGGTGGGGAGGAAGGGGAGGCGAGGTCCTGCATGCAAATATATCCTCAGTTCATTCCTGGTCTTCAGGTAGCCTCCAATGATAGCACTTGGTGGGCAAGGAGGTCCCAAGAGAAGGATGAGAGAAATTGGAAAATAAAATGATATACGTTGAGCACTTAGTTCAAGACCGTTACCTGTGTTACCTAATTCAGTTCTCAAAGCCTATGAAGTAGGAAGCTCCACCCCCATTTTACAGGTAAGAAGAGAGCAGGTAGTTCAAAAAGGTTAGGCACAGAGTTCCAGCCAGCCCTGGAAACCTCTCCACGCAGGCTGTGCTGCTGAAACCTGCCCTCTCCACCCCATCCCAGGGGGCAACAAAATGGGCTGGCCAGGGTAGGAATGGGTCGACCAGCAGTCAACAAAAGGCTCTGTCTAGATGGCTGGAGACTAAGTTTGGCCAGGAATGACTTCCTGGAAGAGATGAGATGGGAGTGGAGATGCAGAGAAGGAGAAGATTAGAGCAAAGAGGCTTTGGGGAGATGGAACAGGCTGGGATGGAACAGCTTTCAGGAAGGGAGCTTCCCATCAGCCTAAGTAGCTGTGTCATCTTCACACTATGTTCCAAACACTTTGGTCACAGCCCTGACCAAAGAAGCCCTGGCTTCATGTCCCCATATTAACCCAGAGAGGAGAAGGAGGGTTCCCTCCTCCAACCACTCACTTTTACATAGCCACTCTGATGGACGGGTCTCAGATACCCCCCTACCCTGCTCCTGCAGATGACTTGGGGCCACACATTTATTTCTAGCACCGTGATTCCAACTCCAACCTGCTAACCTTGGGAACTGTGTGCGTGGAGTCTGGCTGGAGACTACATGGATAGAATAACTACTTTTCCTCTATCCAAAGACCCCCGTCCCCTTCCGAGACCAGAACCCAGGATTTCTACAACAGGTCCAGAACTGGAAGAAATAGAAGATAGGCCTTGCACGAGAAAATATGATCATAACTCACTTTTAGAAAGATTGTCTGCAGCTTCCCACAATTCCTGCCACAATAGTTGGCACCACGTCGGGAGAAGATGATTTCATGAGCGGGTATCCGCTGGTAGGCCACACGCTTGTCTCCCTGCAGCATCCATATGATGATGTCCGGCAGGCTGTTTTGGGGCTAGAGAGGATGGCAGTCAGGGGGCAACAGTGACATGTCCATGCCCACACCTCATAGTGATACTATGAGCTGACTCTGACTCAAAAGCTGCAAGATCTCACCTTCTGAGACTTCCATCCACATACTTACACACTGCCTACTTGCCTACTCCTGGCCCTCCCCTTGCTGCATGGGTGTCTGAGCCCCCAAAGGAGAAGATGAGAGAAAGAGAGAGAGAGAGAGAGCCTGCCAAAACTTACTGAGTGAGCATGGGATTCTGGGAAAAGACTGCATGCCTGAGCACAAGGGTTTGGTTCATAAGTCCCCTCTACTCAGTAAATGTTACCAGGGGCAAACATTCCACTTAAGATGCCAGCCCCTAAGGTCCTTTCCAGAGGCCTTCCCAAAGGACCTTAAGTTTTCCTCCTGGTAAGAGCAGTGCCTTAGGGTCCAGGGACTCTGAAAGATGTAGACAAGCCCAGGACACAACTCCAAGGCCTCTGAGCCCTTGGGGATATAGCAGCGAGTGGCAGCTGCTTCTACTGCACACGCTGGAGAAAGGCTGTTTGGGGACACATCCTCCATCCAACCCTGTTGTTGGACCCACACTTCCAGATCATTCACTGATGCATGGCAGTACCCACTTGACAAGAAAGAAAGTTTAGGCTTAGAGAGGGAAGGAACCAACTTAATTTTTCCTGACTCAACTATTATACCGAGGCCTTGCAAACTGAGGAGCCCAAAGCAGCAGCAGCTCCTGAGAGCCCAGGCCTGGGGGTTAAGAACACTGAACATTATGATGCATACACATGTGTGAGTGGTAGTCTTTCAGTCCCATTAAAGTCATCACCCTGTTTGTCCCTATCTCCTACCAGCCATAGTACCTGGGCTAAGGGATCAAAAAAATCAGTCTAGGGCAAAATTATAGAGGTAGCCAGAGACAAATTTGAGGATGTCTCCTGTAACTGTGAGGGGTTCGTGTGCAGCTGAGACACATGAGCAAATGGCCATATGCCTGTAGCCCTATACAGAGAGTATACATGGCCATCACCCTTCTTGAGTACCCCCCCACCTCTATCTGCAACCTGCTCTGCATCCTCCTGGGGACAGCCTTCCTGCCTACCTGCACCTGTTTCCTGGGGGTGCCAGGTGGCTCTGGTGAGAGTGGGCAGAAGCCGCCTCTGTGAATAGACCTTTCTCCTTATTCTGAACCAACCTGTAGCCTGTGACCCAAAGGCATCCAGGAGATCAGAAAACACAAGCTTGGAAGAAGCAGGCTTGTAGCCAGGCCTTTACTGTGCAGGAATGAAGTGCCCAGGGGAAGCTGTTCCCAGCATGGGACCTGGAGCTAGGTGCCCTGGATTCTGGTTCCAGCACTGGCTATAACATTCCTTGATGGGCTAGGTACATTTATTGAGCACCTTCTATATGCCAGGTTCTGTGTTAGGCCCCATTATTCCCTCAATCCTCTTTCTTCCTTCTGCAAATGAGGATACTAAGGCTCATCCATCAGTAGGCCCTGGGTGGAGTCATGGTCCAGACAATACCCACATGCCTTCTAGTTCTGATTTTCCAGGCAACAGGAGGGAAAGGAAGGCAGGCACCATCAAGTTATTACCTCTTCTGCCAGGGCACGGAGCCTCAGGAGCCAGTCCTCAGCCTGTTCTAGGATCACAGGAAGCTCACTGGAGCTGAGCTTCAAGGCCAGGGCAGCCTCCGTGATCTGGCTCAGGTGACGGGTACGTAGCCGGAACAGGTACTGGTCCAGGTGAGTAGCAGAAGGTATCGTATGGACATCACCCAGGGGCTGGCTATGAAACACAATTGCAGTGTGCCTGATGAGCAGGGCCTTCCACACACCCACGGGTGCAGGCACACACATATGCATGTGCACACACAGCACAGCATGCCTGGGCATGGGCCCCACACCCTCAGCCTACCTGCTGGGTGCCTTTGCTAGCCTGATCCCCATGCCCAGTCTTCTCCATGTGATAAGCTCCATCCATCCCATCGCCTCTAGGCAGCCTTCCCTGACCACAGGGCCCTCATACATGCTTCCCACTCTGAAGGCCCTTTTAGTCTGGGGCCCCCTTTGGAAACTTATCCTAAACCTCCAACCTGATGAATTCTTCTGCAAAAGTGTCCCTCTCTCCCCTGCAACTGACTGTGAGCTCTCAAAAGAAGGCCCAGCAGCTCCCTCTCTTCCTGTATCCTGTACCATCTTGGAGCAGAGGCCCTGGGTTCAGTTGCCCAACGCTGAAACAAATTCAGTCTGTGCTATGTGCACACTTTCTCTGAGAAGGAAATTTACAGACCCCTGATAAGCCGCTGCAGCCCCCTCAATGGGGAGGCCAGCAGCCAGTAAGACAGATGCACGCACCCAGGCAGCCCCACAGCACCCCTCCCAGAATCCATTGCTGTGGAGGGCCTTGAAGAGGAGGTAGGGGCTACATGCAGACCTCAAATCACAACTGTGAGCCCCAGATGAGGAGTTCGTTTGGAGGTAAGAACTCCCATCCATCCTTCGGGAGCTCCCTAAAAGCCTTTTCTTCAAATGGCTGTCCTTCACCCTTCCAGGTCCGGGGTCCTCCACAAGCAAAGGTCCTGCAGGATGCGGTATCTTGCTGCCCCCCCTCCAGAACCCCCTCCTAACTGTCTCTGATTGAGCTGCTGGGGGCCACCCCGCCCCCCAGGCTAGCAGAGCCTCCACTCGCCAACAGGACATTAGTCAAACCCACTCAGTCAGGTCTGCTCTCACTACTTGCACCCCCCTGCTTCTCACCCCCCCAACTCCCCTCCCCGCAGCGTCTCGACTCCCGGCTCCCGGCTGATTTATTTTTCTGCCAATTTCCCCGAGCTATGCAGAACCAATTACCGCCGGAGCGCAGCGGCACCGCTGCCGCCAGATACTCCACTCTGGCAGGCCCTCGGCGCACTACATTTTTCCTGTTATTTTTTTTAATTGAATTTTTAGGGTGGGGGGAGCAGTACGTGAACTCCATCTCGGGGAAACTTAAGCCCCGGGGCCTGTCTCAGGTCACGTACTGCACACCCTGTAGTAATATAATATTTACTGCCCCGAGGGTGCCGCGGACAGCCGCCCCAGGCCGGCAGCAGGCAGCCTGCAGGGCTTGCGAAGCTGAGGCTGTGGTGGGTGAGGGGGGTCTGGGCGGACTGGAGCCTGAGGGCCGGGTGGGAAGGGGTGGAGAGGGCGGGGGAGAATCGAGAGCTGGGCCAACTGAGGTGATTTATGCACCCCAGCCTGGTTGGGAAGCTGGGAGGGACCAGGATGTAGACCACCAAAAGGAGATTTTCATGGAGACACAAGCTAAAGCCAAGACTTCCCAAAATACAGCCAGGACCTGTGAGTGCCTCTGGCAATATTTCTCAGCCTTTCCCCTCTCCCCTCCCCCATGCACACACCAGGAGAGCCCAAGACAAGAGCTCAGAAACATGGGGAGACTAGGTGATGCTGAGCTCCCAGCCGGTCCTGTATATCCTTAGCTGACTTGGAAACCTGGTGGGCCATATAGGCCCAGAGCCAAGGCCTGGCTGCTCACCAAGTTGCTGCCTGGCCCTGTGGCACCAAGCAGGTGACTACTGGGGGGCAGCCACCAGGCCGGGAGAGCCTCTGGCCTGACAGATGAACTGGTTTCAGGTGGTTCATTGCAGTCCTTGTTAGCAGCAGCTGTGCTGGGCCTGTGCTGAGCTGGGGGCTGGGTCCAGAGATGAGACCCAGCTCCGCTTATCTCCAGGAGAGGAACAGAAGCGGCTGTCCATGATCCCACTGGGCAGCCTGAGAGTCAGGAGGCCTTCCTGGAAGAAGTAGCCCCAAGCTGTGCCTATAGACCTGGCAGAAGTTAGTCAGGCTCAGGACAGACCGGTGTGTGCATAGAAGCAAATGCACAGAGGCAAGGGGTGCAAGTGTGGAATGAAGTGGGGTGGGGTGAGGAGAGCCAGTCAGTACAACCATCTAGAAAGGAGAGGAGAAGCCTGGTCTACAGGAAGTGAGCTGAGACTCGCAGTAGGAGCAGTCCAGGACTGAAGTGGAGGCCCCAGGTTAGGGAGACAGTGTGGATATTAAAGGGAGGGAGTTGGAGAGGAAGGAGGACGAAGGAAGAACATAGGAGAGACAGACACCCAACAAGTCTGAGAAAGGGAGAGGCAGCGCCGTACCTCTTTCCATTGTGGGCTCTGGGGTTGCTAGCCTGCCCAGGGTACACGCAGCCCAGGGAAGAGCCCATATGCGCTGACAAGGCAGCACATGGAGCGGTCCAACAGGACCTAGAAATCAGAGTTGACAGCTGGGCTGGAAGAGCAGAGTGGGTGTCATTGGCCATGGGGAAGATGAGCTAGAAAAAACGGCTTGGGCTTGAACAAGGGAAGACACTGATGCCAGAGCTATAGCAGAGCTGGCAGGAAGATCAGGTAAGCAGCCATGGTCAGCCTTGGTATCATCCATTGTGAAGACTCTCAAGGCCACAGTTGGGGTGAGGGACTCCCTTCCTCTTGCTGGGGCCCCAGGCTGCTCGAGGCCTCAGGTGGTACCTGAAGGAATCAGTTCTGATTCCTGGAATTCCTCTCTTGGAGTCTCATCTAAGTATTCCCTCAAGAGAACCCAGCTTCCCCCAGGCTGGGACCAAAGCCCCTGAGAGGCTGGGGCAACCTTCTTCTCCCAGGCTAGTGACTCAAAGGACCAAGTTTGACAGAAGTGATTTTACCCAGTTGCTCAGAGCAGAGCACTGAGGAGGGCACTGAGGACATCCCAGGGCCAGATCCCACAGGTACCACACACCTGCCAAGGTCCAACCCACACATGAGTCACAAGCTGTGGTATGGGGAAAACCTGTACTCTGCTCACCCACTGCCCGAGAGCCTGTGCCAGATGGGCAACAGCCAGTCACTCTGCAGGCGTGGCCTAGCATACAGGGGCGATCTGAGAATGCACCTCACAGCTACAGCTCCCAATACTGACTGTGCCCCTGTGCGTGCTTCTAGCCCCATCTGTCCTGCAACCTCCAGACCACAGGGTCAGCTTTCTCACAGATACCCTGCTCTCAAGTGTGACTCCTGATCTCTCCCAGCCCACTTCCTCTCCTACAGACCCCTCAGAGACTGGCCCTAACTACTCCTCCGCTAACCTGGCCAGAACAAGGTGGCCATTCTAGGCCTTTCTCTGGCCCCTAGTTCCAACCCATCATCAAGTTTTCCCATGGTAGAGCATTAGACCAAGGAAGTTCTGCTACCTACATGATATGTGACTCTGGGCATGTTGATCGACCTCTCTGTGCCTGTTTTCTCATTTGTAAAACGAGGACTATTCTACTTCTACCTCATAATTAAATAGCTTCATGATGAGTTAATACACAGAAAGTTCTTAGGACAGTGCCTGGTACAATATGTTGTTGGCATAATACATCCTGAAGTGTCTATGATGGTCTCTGCACTGTTGACTTAGCTGCCTTTGTCCCAAGTCACTTGCACAACCAATGTTCAGTCTATTTGCCAGGCCTCCTAGTCCCTGTCGCCTCACATCACCAATGCAGCATCCAACCCAGGGTTGCATTGCCCCTCCACAGCCCCCCAGCCTAAGCTCTGCTTGGCATAGCCCCCGAGGCGTGTCCCCTGGGCATCAGCTTCCCTCTCCTTTTGCCTGGGCAATGCCCTCTTTGAAGGCCAACCCTCTTCTCTAAGTTCCCATCAGCCATCCTTCCCTCCTCCTCTGCCCAAGAAACTTCCCTGGATTCCATTTGTCGGGAGTATTACACCTGAACTCATGTATTATACCTGTGAACTCACATCTGCCTCTAATTCCGAGCACACTTTGCTTTGTGTGCTGGATTTGTGCACCCATCACCCTCTAGAGGGCTGAAGTTGTACCCTCATCAGTAAGCCTGGCACTGCCAGGCTTTGAGTAGGCTTTGGGAATGGCCTGTCTACAGCCCCACACCACTGGGGATAGAGAGTGAAGGAGACAGGTCCTTGGGGAACATTTGATCACAATGCACTTCCGAACTAACTGCAGCATGAAGGGCTGGACGGGGGCTGTGTCTGGCAGCATGGTTACTCATTTCTCAGCAGGAAGGCATTTCTTTCTCTGCTCTGTTCAATGGGCTCTCTAGCCAGACTGACAGAGGGAGTGATGAGAGGCAGAAGAAGGCAGAGAATGCATTTGCATATATTCACACATAATCTCCTAGAAAGCAGAATTCTGATTAAGTCCAGTAACAGTGGAGAAACCGAGGTCCATGGAAGGGAAGCTATGTAAATCCACAAAGCTGGTGAACAGGGCTAGTACCTAAGACTTGGCATTTCATCTTAACAATAATTACAGTTCCCATTGATTAAACCCTTCCTAAGGTCCCAGCACTTCATTACATATTCTAAAGTAGTTACTCCTCATGCCAAGTGGAAGTTCAAAGCTCCCTCTGGAAGTGCCTCTCCAGACCCACTCAGCGCTGGATGAGATGCTGAGATGAGCCCCCCTGCTGAGCCTCTGCACCCCCATTTTCCATCACCCCGAGGACTCCCTTTTCCTGAAATTGACCATCAGCCACGTCAATTGAAGACTAAGCAGAAAGCATGGTTCCTGACATGACTTTGGGGAAGGAGGGACGCTACCTACCCCCACCTCCAGTCAGCTTCTCCTGGAGACTCCATCAGGGAAATAAGACGTTGGGGATCAGAGACACAATGCTCCCCATTCAGGTGAGCGGGGCTGCGCAGGCCCGCAGCTGCCGCTGCTGCAGGGAGATTTATGACCTGCTCTAAATGTCACCTTTTCAACTCCCTGCGCTGGCTCCACCACCTTTGGACTCAGCCCGGGCTGGACTGCTGGCCAAGCGTGGCTGGGAGACGTGCTGCCGCTCACTGCCACACACGAACACTCGCAGGGAAGCAGCCCCGTGGGCGCCAGGTACCCCCTACCTGCAGTCTGCAATGAGCTCATCCATCAGCTGAGCCACTAGAGAGTCTGTGTCCTCCGTGGAACCCTGTGCCTTCAAGGCCAGGTGGACCTGCTCCAAGCCAGCTTCCTGTGGAATGGGCAGGCCAAGGTCAGAAGTGCCACCAGGATGCAGAAAGTTAAACCCTGGCCGTAACCAACACACACACACACACCTGTAACAACACACACACACACACACACACACACACACACACCTGTTGCCACAGCCCAATCCATTAAAAAAAAAATGAGCAGCTAGAGACATAGTCCAGAGCCAGCCAACCAGCACTGACCTGGTTCAAGAACCTTCCAGGGCTCCCCACACCCAAATTCTCAAGCCTGGCACTTGAGCGTCATATCTGAGCATAAGGAATTCATAAGCTATGTGCCAGCTCCACCAGAAGCTGAAGGCATCCTGTCACCTCCCATCTTCAAGCCAGAACTGACTCCCCACAGGTGGACACAGCTGAGTGGCCTTTCCTGAGCCTGTTGTTGCTCCTCATGGGACCCCCTCTCCTTTCCAGATTCTACCACACAGCTAGGCTCAGGCCAAGTCTACCTACACCACCACCACAGCCACTCAGACTTCCTCATCCCAATGACTGCTCTCTCACTCAGCTGCATCTAGCCTCCTTTACTGAACCCCTACCCAGCCCCCACCTTGGACCTCAGCCCTGTCCCTCAGTCCCCCAGGACCCTTCTTCCTGTCCATCAGCTTTTCTGAGCAGGTGATACATATACCACAGTGGGACTTCTAGTCTAGAAACAGACCCTACCAAGGAAACATGGACCCTGCTCCCTTGGAGTCTGTAATCTTGTAAAATAACAAGTGGCCCAGAAGACAGACCAAACTTGCCCAGCTCTGACTCCAGTTCTCAGGCCCTGAGTGTTTGCTGGTCTTCTCCCTGCTGCAGAGCTCCAGGTCTAGAGGCAGCCAAGGACTACAAAGGCCCCACCTGGGCCTGAATTGCTTCCAGCCACTCTGACTCCTCCTTTTCCCTTCCTTTTCCATGTCTTTTGAACCATGCTTATCCACAGACTTCTCCAGGCCATTCATCTCCCTTTCCTCAACCTGTTGCCTTTTTCTTGCTTTATCAGAATAGCTACCCTTGCCTTCTCCACTTTCCCACATGCCAGTCAATTCAGGAAGGAGAGCGCGTGCGCGCGCGCGCACACACACACACACACACACACACACACACACACACTTCATAGAAGTGCCTGGAAGCCACCACCTGGACCATCAGCTTCCCACCTCCCTTGACCTTTACACACATTCTTGTGACGCTCTTGTACTCGCTGGCCAAGCACCAGACCTGTACATGGAGATGAATCTCTAGAAGCCTCTCAAACACAACTCACCACCCACCCTTGCACCCTCTGCTTTTCTCCCCAGCTCCCCAGAGTCATTTCAGCCACCAGAGTCACTTCTCACAGACCTTCCTTTTCCTAGATCCAATGGGCCACCAAGGCCTAAAAGCTGAAGTCTTGCAGTCCCCCTCAAAGGTCATCTCCTCCTCAGGCCATGTCACCCTCCTGGGCCCCTGCGATGGGGCCTGGCTAAGCCCTCACCACCTGTGTTCCCCCACTGCACATGGATCCTTGCTGTTCCCATGCTACTTTCCTGATGCTCTTTGCTACTCTCCTTCCTCCACACCCCACCTCTCTCCCTTGACACCTCAAGTCTCACCTGGAGAGCTCTGGGTAAACAGGGCAGGAAAGCCTTCTGTGGACTTATTCAGTGCTTACTTCCAGCTGACTTCTAGATGGAAATCTCTTGTATGCAGTTAAGAGTAAAGAGAAATCTACTATTCATCCCAGGCACTGTCCTGAAGTTCCAGGTGAGTGTCTCTCTGTCTTTGTCTCATCTCTGTCTCTCTCTGTCTCTGTCCCTCTGTCTCTGTCTCTGTCTGTCTCTCTCTCTCTCCCTCTCTCACTGCATCTGTTAGGGGCTCCCCAGTGCTCTCCTCACCCCTCTTCTGGCCAGTAAATAAGACACAGAACACAGAGGACACCAGCCCACAAAAGCCACTGGACAAAGTTACCTATCAAGTGTGCATGTGGGCAGCAGGTCTGCAAACACCCACAGAAAAGCAGAGGTTGGGGGTCTCTTTCCACTCACCAACCGGTCAGCAATCCTGAGCAGCTGGTTTTGAGTCTCAATCCTATGGCTGATGTCCTCCCAGTAGGAGGACAGCACCACGACTGGCTTCACATTGCCCCAGGGTAAGTAGTAATAGTGGCATCCTGTGAGGAGAGAGGGGCCTGGTCACTGGGCAAGGGAAGAGGAACCTGATCCCCAGCAAGGGAAGAGGGTATGGGGTGAGGGGAGAAGGGCCTGGTTACTGGGTAGGAGCTGAGGGTTGGCAGGCAAAGTACTACAGAGCCCAGGCCTCTGGTCACTCAGACATGGAGCTAGCCAAGATGGGAAGAGGGGTGAGGGTGGAGGCAGACTAGCGCCTTCTTCTCTTTCCCACCTTAGAACCTCTGGGCAGATGTGGTGTCATCTGTACTGTTCAGTGTCCACACAGAATGGGGAACACTGGGACACTTCAGTGCATAGAAAGAAAGAGGGTAATAGAACGACAACATAAATCAAGACCATAGTCCCCAATGACTCTAAGCCACCATGTAATGACCCAGGTGAATCAAGATGATTATGGATCACCATACTTTCAAGATCCCAACCTATGGGAACTGGCATTGGGGATAGGGAGGAGGTAGGCTCCACCTGGAGCACTGCAGGGGGTGGAGGTGGCTTTGGGAGCACAGCAGGGGATCTCAGAAGGGTTTTTCTAGGCCAGGTATATGGAGCAGGGCCCCAGCAGCTTCCCATGGTAGGGAGGCTTCAGGGCTCAGCCCCTGCTCTATGACTCAGGAACTTACCATCAAAGACTGCCCGGCTGTACTGGGTGGTGGAGGCCAGCGGCAGACAGGTTGTATCGAACTTATTGCCATAGTTCCCAATGCTGACCTCAAACTGGATAGCATCATCCACATCCTGCAGCATAGAGGCCGAGTAGAAGGCGGCGAAGAGGGAGTATTTGCGCCTCCGGAGGTACTTCTGTGGGCAGAGAGGGCAGGCCAGAGGGCATGAGGAGAAGGCAGCAAGACAGGTGGGCATTGTAGGCCTTTACCATGACCTGTACCAGTAACCCCTGGCTCAGCTGCCCAGTGGCAAATAGTCCAGAAAAGAAACCATCTCCAGATTTGATTATGAACTCAACACTCTTTCCAGGTCTCTGTGTATTTGGCCACACTTCCTAATAAGATCTGCATCTCCAAGGTCATGTGGCTCCTTAATCCAAACCAGCAGCAATGGCACCACCACATCAGCGAGGCAAGGTCTCCTTGGTGCCCCTCAGGGCAGCCTGGTCTCATCTGCGATTGCGAATCACCAGGCCCCACCCAGAACTCCCACCAGCCCCGAAGAGGTCCCCGCACACCAGACACTACTGCAGTATGCACTGGCCACCTCTCCCATATACTTGGGATGTGTGAAGTTCTTCGCTCCCTCTGGGCATAGGGCACAGGACTAAGGGCACGTTTTCATATGTCCTGATTTGAACCAACATGATTTTATGATTCCTTTCATTGGGAAGCACAGAGAAGCAAGATTAAGCAATTGGGGTTTAGGAGAATGTAAATAGTAATGACAGCTAACACTTAATGAGTACTTACTGCATACATATCTTAATTCACTTCTCACCACAATCTTATGAGGTAAGTATAATTATTACACCCACTTTACAGGCAGGGAAATAGCTGGTAAGTGGTGGAGCCAGGATCCAAGCCACAGCTCTATGACTACAGGACCTGAATGCTCCTAGAGACCAGGCCTCGCTCTACCATTCATTGCTCTGATATATCTGGGCTTCTGTTTCTCCATCTATAAGATGGAGATAGTAACCATAGCAGCAGTACTATGGGGTAATGTGAAGATTCAGTAACACCAGGGGCATCACTAGCAGTGCCAAACACCTGATAAGTGTTTAGTTGACTTAATAGAACTTCATTCTTATGTGACTGTTAAAAAATAGCGTCTCATGTTGCATTGAACTCTAGACTTTCAAAACACTTCCATTTATCTGCTTTATTCCTCTGAGCATTCCAAGTGGGATATGTGTTACATTCTTCCCACTTCTCAGCTGAAATGTCAACTACCCAAAGAAGTGAAGTCACAATAAGTGCGGAACAGAACTGTGTCCCTTCTACCCCATGGTGCTTGCTTGGCCACCTCTCTCTAATCCCTAAGAGGACTGCACCTCCCTCCCAGGGCAGTGCTCCTCACCTCTACCCGGAGGATGTCATCTGCAGGAAGGTCCTCCACCTTCTGCTCACTGTGCTCCACCAGCTTGGTCTCCAGGGACAGCAGAAGCCGGCCTCGGTAGGCCACGCCTTCTCCCTGCACGAGGACATCAGGTCACCAGCCGGAGCAGACAAGGGGAAAGAAAGGAGCATGGTTTGGCTCTAAGGCAGGCAGTTCATCTCCCAGGCAGCCCAGAAGCTGAGCCAACCCACAATTCTTCCAATGAGGATGTCATGGTCCAGAGCGTTCCGGGGACATGCCAAGCCACCCAATGAGACAACCAGTGCCACCTCCAGCCTAGCCCCAGGTGATGAAACCTGAGAGACACTGGCCTGGGTGTCTTAGGGACTGAGGTCTCAGTGTCCCTAAGTGAGAGACAGAGGGGAACAGAGAAGAGGGAGGAGCAGGAGGAGGCCAGGGAGAATTAGAATTAGGATACTCTGATGGGTCCAGCCTGCCCAGGCCTCAGGCAGCCCCTGAAGTCTCAGGTAGGCCTGAATGCCACCAAGCCAGGTGGAAGACCCCCCCCCCAGAGGATCGCTTGGCATGTGGCGGCTTACCTTGCCCATGTTGAGCTCTGCGTAGGGGTCTGGGAAGCCCGTGAATTCCCGGGGACTGCCATACAGGTTCACATAGCAGGGGCCAAAGGTGGGAAGGAAGCCCAGATTGTCGTCCACTGAAGACACAGCAGAAGTCAGAGAAGCCCCCTGGTGGGGCTTTCTAGAACTCAACCAGCCACCTTCAGACCTGAGTCCACCCCAGCACCTCAGTTTCCCCCACATGTGTCAGTTATAATCTTTGTAAACAACAATGACACTGATGAGATCTGTCATGATGTCCTGTAAATCCAGCTAGTCCTTGTCACTATTAGTCTGATTTTACAGAGGAGGGAATAGAGGTCCAGAGATACAAAGCAACACCTGCTGATGAAGTGGCCAGATCCGGAATGGTGCCCCTCAACACGCATGCTCTCAGCTGGCATGCACACACACTGGAGCTCAGGCGCTCCCACCCCCGTGCCTTCTGGACCACTCCCCCTCCAGTCTGCACACATATCACATCCAGGCATAGGGTGTCATAAAGGAAAACCCAAAGCCTCAGGACCAGAAAAGTTACCTTTCAGGGGACGTCCCTCCCCCCACAGCCAAACTCCAGTGACTTGTATGTCCCCATGCCGTGATGGCCCTGACTCATTTCAGGACACACAATACCAAAAAAGTGATATTTTTAATGGAACACTTTGGAGGAGAGTTCAAGAATGAATGAGGCAGGAAACTCTTTCCTCTGCATCATTCCCATCCCTTGGAGAGGCTCTATTTTGTTCATTTGTCACTTGGGGGCTCGTGGATCATTTCCTAGGATGGCCCTTCACTAGCCATACTCTGAAAACTCTACGAAGTCAGGTATCCCTTTTGGAGGGCAGGGGAAAGAGAACATTTCCAGAATGCCAGAGACCGCAGGCAGGACTGAAATCATCGGGGATGACCCTATCCACACAGGATGGGCCAAACAAGCACAAGACCAATCTCTGCAGCGGAGGGGTGCTAGGGCTGGACCCTAGGTGCGTGCTATGAGCTGCTCCTGGGGAGCCCATGGAGTGAAGGGGGACAGGGACAGGCTGGGCCATGCCTGCCCACCAGTCAGGAGTGCCCTGAACCCTTCTACACGTTCCTTCTTTCAGACCCCAGCACAGGCAACGCTCTGGCTTTGGAAACAGAAGGCGGCGGCCTTGGAATAATGGATCTCACGTGAACATTACTCATCATCTGTGTTCAATATCTTGATTATGATTTACCTCTTGAATTTCCACTTCAAGAGTTTTTCACTCCCTCCAACTTCCTCCTGGTCCCCAGATACCTTACACTTCCCCAGGTTGTCCATGGCTTCTATACCTGCCCAACTCCTCCTTCTAGCTTCACCCCAAGTTTGGGGAGGGGTCTGGGAGAGAAGGAGGAAACTGTCCTCAAGACATTCCAAATGACTTTAGTGTTCAACCAGTGGCAGAAAGGAAACTGATCAAGGTAAACTCAGAGGCTGGGGTGAATCTCAACCATGCTTCATGCAAATCAGGAAACCCCATCTCCAGCATTCATACCCCCTCCAGTAAGAGCCTCCAAACCCATCCCCTTCGACCCCTAGGTGACAGTAACGTACGGTCTGTGCCTTGTGGAGGCTTGGCCACACCTGCAGGCTCCTCTGAAGCATAAAGAAATGGAAAAGGTGTTAGGATGGACATGGCTGGAAGGAGGAATGGTTATGTGACCAGGAGCTGGCAGATGAGCAGAAACACAGCTCCTAAGTGGGAAGCATACACGGCCCCAGGCCCCACCCCTAGCCCAACGCTGAATGTACCACAAGCTAAGGCACCACCCCTGTCCAGCCAGACACAGTCCCCAGTACCACAATCACTTGGAACTTCCTTGATTCATTATATTCAAGAAATAACACAGAAAAAAATGTGCTTTTCACTATTATAGCTAGGTCAGTGAGGAAAATAAAATACAGACATAAGGAAAGGGTGAGCAAAACCCAAAAGAGCAAGAGCAAGGCAGCTGAACACTCAGTGTTCCAAACCCAACAGGACAGAGCTAAGCAAGGGCATTTCAAGGCACAACATCTCCACCTAGTGGTCAATTCTATTAGTACCACAGAAAACAACATGTTGCGTTTTCACAACAATAGGCATCTGGACTTGGCTTCTAACACCTGCTGCTTCCAGTAAAGTATGGTGACAGATACTGCCCATTAGATGAAGGCTCTGACATCTGAGTCTGTTCTTATATGCTGGTGACAGATATCTAAAAATAGAAGCCAGGAAAATATGCTCTGGCCACTCTGGGCTCTTGGTATCTATCATTCACTTCTGAACTGGTAGATAACCCAGAAAAGGAAGATCCTTCCATCTCCTTCCTCTGTCTCTGTGATGTCTGCCTCTTTCTACACTTTATATTTTTTAACTAGCAAAGTGTAATCATGTCTGAGGTTATGGATGAGCCTGGGAATGGCATTAGTGCACTTGCTGATTCTTTTTATCTATTATTCACCTTTGCCTATTACCTCAAAAAAAAATCCAAAATCTCATTGCTGTTTTTCCATGGCTTCATAATTATAGTTAGAAACCAAAGGTCAGGAAAATGTCATGAAGGAAGAACAAGCAGAGAAGAATCCACTACAAATGCTCCTGGTGGCCATTTTCACATCCACAAAAATCAACTTTCACCAAAGGGTGAGTCAGGCCCCTGGCTATCGGGGAATGTGCTTTCTCAACAATATGACCTATATGGGAACAGCTGTGATTCCAAGGAAGGCAGTGGCCAGGGACCACCAAAAAGAAAGTTTCCACTTCAGGTCCTTCCAAATGATTACCAAGAGGCCTGACCTGTTATCTCAGGCTAAAGAAGCTAAAGTTATCATTCCAACCCCCATGTGCTTCTTGCAAAGGCAAGCTTGGCTTCTCATCCATAACCTGACTATAAATCCTGGCTGCAAACTGGTGCCCAGGCAGACACACATGGCCCCCCAGTCCTGCCAGCCATCCGATCAACACACAGGCCTCGGGTGACCAGAGTGAACTGTGCAGTCCTTTGCATTCATTTATTCATTCAACAAGCCTTGCCAAGCACAATTCTAGGCACTGGAAGTGAGTAATGGTCCTCCTGACAACTTCAGCCAGAGATTCCTAACTTGAGGGAAGGTCATAGGTCTCCAGGAACTTCATCTCACCACCCCCCTCCCCAAGTTCTCTTCCCTGTGTCTGCTGACAGCTCATAAAGTCAAGGGCAGGGCAACCAGAGGGCCACCCAAGACAAAGCCTCTATTTAGTCCTCATCGTCCTTCTGCCAAAACACAAATGTTTTAGTGTGCTTTCCCTGAGCCCAGAGATCCAGGAGTGTGGACGTCCCAAGTCACAGATGAATGCTCCCCATTTCCCCAGCTCCCTCACCTAGGGAAACTGGAAGGAATTGAGAACAGGCCTCTTGGCCCCATGAGCCACAAGTCAGAGCCCTGCAGACAGTCCTCAGGGACATGCATGTGCCTTGGAGGAGCCAAGGGTGTTACCTGCAGCCATTCTGCCAGCCCCCTCCGCCTCTGGGCACATCCCCAAGCCCGTGGCATTTGGCTGCCTGACACTAGCCTGAGCCAGGCAGGGGAAGAAACCAAAAACTGCTGGGAAATCATCTTCAGCTACGTTCCGAAGACAGAAAGATGAACTTTGGGTTTCTTGGCCATGGAAAAAAACTGTTGGGTACAAGTACTATTTCTGTAACATGACTGTCATGTGTATAAAGTTATCAAAGACTCTGGGTGGTTTTCATGGCTCTCATGTATCTGAGAACAGTCCTTTAAATAAATATCTTTCCTTAATATGTTGGTGGTGCTCAGGGTCCAAAAAATACTTCACTGTGCCCAGGCAAACCCATGGGCAGAAGTGCTTAAGTGGTTACTGTTGGGTCTTGTCCTCCCCGGAAACAAAAACAAGACACAAACCAAAAGCACTTGGTCAAAACAAACCATCAGGGGAACAGGGGTGGGCGTGTGGGGGGGAGAGAGCATACCAGTTTTTACAATTCACTTTGGCTGGGCTTAAGAGATGACAGAGGTATGCTAGATCCCACGTGAGAAGAAAAAAAATTTAAAAAAAAAAAAGGAAAGTATGAGAGAACAGCATGTCCTAAGGGGGCTTTTAGGATGGGTGAGGAAAGCTTAGCAGGAAACTAGGCAAGAGATCATCCTTCAGGGCTAGAGACAAACTCTGGCTCCAAAAGGGACCTACCTGTGTAGGAAAGAATGTCAGAGAACCTGAGAATAGCCCCAGTATTATCAGAATAGTTAAGTCTTTTATGGTCACATAAATCAAGCTATTTAACTTCATATCCAAAAATTAGTTAGCTGATGGCATTAAAATTTTTTTTCATTTATATCCAGAACAATAGTTGAGGGATGGGGGCCATGGGGAGGGAGGGCAGGAAGTGGTCCTAATTTGACTGCCTTCCTGAAGCACAGTAGATTGCCTGTGGCTTGAGCACCATCTAGTGGCCACACAAACACTGGATGGGTAAAAGAGTCAGGATGCCAGAAAAAGATGAAGGCGAACATTACCTCCAGAAATGGGATCTAGGGAGGACCTAAGTTCTCCACCAGGTGGCTTATGGTAGGCACAGGTGTAGCTTTATGGATCAACCACTGTCCTAAATCAGTCAGAAATGCCACATTGTGCTTCTACCAGTATCTGCCCTAGGGTTCACAGGCAGGAAGAGTATGAGTAACCAACTAGAAAAGGGCTTCCTTCCAGTCCAAGAGTTATGGCCTAGGGGGCACCCTCCCCCCTCACAGCTCTCTCTCTGCCTGTACCTGCAGAGCAACTCTTGGCAGAACTTTCTGACTAGCCAGAAGGGAACTAGGACCCAAACCAAACAGTAGGGGAAGGACTGGGAAGGGAGGATTCTTGATAAAAGCACCATTTTTTTGTGAATTCTACCAATTAAAAGATTGAGCCATGAGATCCAAATGGCAGAGCGCCACTACGTGTTGAAGCTGAGTGAAGGTGCCTGGGAGATGGTCATATAATTCTTGACTTGTGTATATTTGGAACCTTCAAATAATTAACGCTTTTTATTTTAAAAGGTTCCAGAGAACTTGCAAGATCACTGGATGATTGCATAGCAGGAATGAAGCATGTGACCCTGTCCTACAGCCTAAGATCTACAGAGATACACAATGAAGATCCCCTGTCTGTAAAAAGGGACCAAGCTGTACAGATCTCTCTAGAGAGCATATTGGGGAAGGGACTGTCTGCCTACCTCCAGGAGAGAGAAACAGGGGAGCTACCATTGGAATGTTGGGAAAATAGTTTGCGATCCTCAACAGTGTCATTACAAAGCAAAACTTCTGGGAGAGGATAGAAACGAAGAAAAGGTAGAAACAAAAAGAGTGTCTAGAGAGAGAAGAAGAAGAAGGCTTGACAAGGACCAAAATGTGCAATAGCAAAGTTTAACCACACCACAAAGAAAGCAGAAATGGTACAGAGAAATCACACTGGTGATATCAAAAAGCCAAGAATGACAGGAACAGCGAGGGTTAACCTAGGCTTTATCCTGTGCCAGACACTGTAAGAACTTCACATTTATCATGTATCACCTCACAGGATCCTCCCAAGCAACCACAGAAGTCGAAGTTCATAGGAGCCCATTTTATGGATGGAAAGCTGGACTTACTCTTTAGGTTACAAAGTAGCAGAGTTGACAGAATCTAAGCCCAAGATGGTGGCGAGCTCGAATGCTAGCGCACTTACCATTACCCCAACCTGCCTTCAGCTCTCTACACATAGCTAGTATACAAAATATCCATTACCTCAATCTTAGCAATTCACCACTCTCAGACAAAATTCAGTGAAAAGAGTCTCTCATATATTACAGGCAGGGGTGAGGCGCTCTGGTCAACAATGGGCCCAGGTACTAGATAGTGACAGAAGATTGTAGCAACTAGTGGCATCGTTTATTTGTGTAAGAATACTCTCTGGTGTCTGAACAACAAAATCACCCAGCAAAGCATTCACAGAATTTATTCCCATAATTAATCATTATATAACTGGTATTTTCAAAACTTCAAAAGAAAGGGGAGGAAGGTGGGTCAGTGGTAGAGTGCTTGCCTTGCATGCATGAGGCCCTGTGTTCGATTCCCCAGCACCACATAAAGACGGAAGTGGCACTGTGGCTCAAGTGGTAGAGTGTTAGCCTTGAGCTAGAAGAGCTGAGGGACAGCGCCCAGGCCCAGAGTTCAAGCCCCATGACAAAAAAAAAAAAAAAGAAGAACATTAAATTCCTATAAACAGTGTCTAGTCAGAAAAAAAAAAACATGGCTCAAGTCATACTGGTCTCAGAAAATATGTCAAAATAGATTAAAGATTTAAATGTGAAAAATGTTAATATTTTACATAGAGTTAAAGCTGGGCACCAATGACTAGCTACTCAAAAGGCCGAGGAAAGCAGTTCAAAGCCAGCTGGGGTGGGAAAATCCTTGAGACTCTTATCTCCAATTAACCATCAGAAAATCAGAAACAGAAGTGTGGGCTCAGGTGGCAAGGTGCTAGAGTTGAGTGAAATAGCTAAGGGGCAGCATATAGCCCCTGAGTTGAAGCCCTAGTACTAGCACAAACACAGACAAAAAAGCTAAAACCTAGGCATTTGCCAAAGACCTTTTAAATGTGACACGTAATGCAGAAACTATACTTGAATCATTTAAATGCAAATTTTTCAAATAAACCTAAATTAGTCAGAACATTTTTAAAGGAAACAGTAAAATAAGTCTAAAGAGAGTTAAAAGTACACCAATGAAAATTCCAATAAAGTTTAAATAGAAAAAACTAATGAGGCTAATTGAGAAAATAGTAAAAGAAAATTCAAACACAATAGGAATAACAAAAAAGGAAAGCACCAAGTAGAATGAATTGTTTTCACTATAAAAGGTTACTCTGAAAAACACTAGGTAAATAAATTTGAAAACCTCAATGTAATGGATGTTTTTCTAGGAAATATAAATTATCAAAATTGACTAAAGTAAAAGTAACAAACTAAAAATAACAATGATCACAGGAGGAATTGAAAAGTTTTTAAAGAGCCATTACTACACCCACTCAAAAAGGGCACCCAGCCCATATGGTTTTATGGGTGAATTATTTCAAACCCTCAAAAGACTATATTCTTATGTTATATAAACTGTTCCAGATGTTTGAGAAGACTTTAAATCTTTCCAATTAATTTTACAGAGCCAGCATAACCCAGATACAAAAAGCAAAGAAATAATAAGCAGACATACCAATTGAAGATAATAGAAAATCAAGAAACAGGCCCAAGAACACATTAAGGAATTTAGTAGGTGACAAGTCAGCATTGCAAAATATAGGGAACAGATTATTCAAAATGCAGCATTGGTATCACCAGTGAACAATTTTTTTTAAGTCATGTTAGATCCCGTCCTTATTCACTAAGGAAAATATGAACAGATTTGGCTACATACAAACTAAAGTTTTTATAAGTCAAAAACTATAAAGATAAAACATAATTATTTGCCACATATATGAAGGGGAAAAGTTAGTGTCTGTATAAGCATAACACTCTTACCAAACAGTGAGAAAAAGACAAACACATATCCAAAACATGGAGCAGGAGAATACATTTATAATAACTATAAAATGCATAAGCATATATTACATACAAAATTTATGATATTTTAAAATTTACGTTGTTCCATTTACCAGATGTCAATGAAAATGGAAATGAAGGCAACAATGAGATATCATTTTTATCCATCCAATTAACACCATTGAATATATATATATATATATATATATATAGTGTGTGTGTGTGTGTGTGTGTGTGTGTGTGTGTGTGTGTGTGTACCATAATTTGATACTCAGGGCCTCATGCTTGCTTGAGTATCTTCTTCGTGGATGGTTCTCAACCATTTGAACCATGACTCCAGTTTAGCTTTTAGCTGGTTATTCTAGAGATGTCTCACAAATTTTCTGCCCTAGCTGGCTCTAGATCTCCTCCTTGTGAGTTGCTAGGATTACAAGCATGAGCCACTGGTTTCAGGCTGAAAAGTCTTTTCTGATATTATTTTAGCCTGTGGTGGCGAGGGCGCAATACATAAAGCCTATGGAAGTGACTGGAAAAAAATTAACCCTGACTTTTTGTAGGGCAACTTGGGCCTTAAAGAAATTGCCATCCCCTGACCTAGCGATTCTCCCTCTAGATATTCAGCCTGAGGAAATGCAGGGGCTGGGGACAGGAGCAGGATACTTGCCTAGTATGTGAGAGGCCTTGATAAAGTATGCAATAGCACAGATTTAGTGTTTAGTCCATCTTACATTTTGAAAAAGAAAACTTGTGAATGCATAAGATTTACTCACAAAAATTCCATTGCAAAATTAGCTTTTCCTAATGTAGAAAAATTAGAAAATACCTAAATATTCAACATTCACTAAAGAGATGGTAGTACATACACAGTAAATTTTTATTCACTTAGAAGAGCATTTAATCATATGAAAAGACATCTATATAGTAATGTCAAGTGACTAAAAGCAATTTTCAAAACAATTCCCTTTTAATGTATGTATGCATATACAGACATTAGTATATGTGTACATCTACAAACATGCATGTATATTCATATACACAAAAGGCTCTAGGGAAATTCATAGTTCTTATCTGGAATGATAGAGTTATAGGTGATTGCAGGGGGTACATTTTCTATTTTTTCAGATTGTTTCTTTATTTAAAAATTTAAAAAATGGGGGCTGAGAAGGTGTCTCAGTGGTAGAGTGCTTGCCTTGCATGCATGAGGCCCTGGGTTCGATTCCTCAGCACCACAGAACTGGCACTATGGCTCAAGTGGTACAGCGCTAGCCTTGAGCTGAAGAGCTGAGGGACAACGCCCAGGCCCAGAGTTCAAGCCCCAAGGCTGACAAAAAAAAATTACAAAATGAGGGCTGGGAATGTGGCTTAGTGGTAAAGTGCTTGCCTAGCATGTATGAAGCCCTGGGTTCAATTCTTCAGTAGCACATAAACAGAAAACGCCAGAAGTGGCACAGTGGCTCAAGTGGTAGAGTGCTAGCCTTGAGCACAGAGAGGCTCAAGGACAGTGCCAAGGCCCTGAGTTCAAGCCCCAGGACCAGAAAAAAAAATTACAAAATGACAATGAGGGTTGGGAAAGTGGCTCAGTGGTAGAGTGCTTGCCTTGCATGCATGAGGTCCTAGGTTCAATTCCTCAGCACTACATGAGCAGAAAAAGCCAGAAGTGGTGCTGTGACTCAGGTGGTAGAGTGCTAGCCTTGAGCTGAAGAGCTGAGGGACAGCACCCAGGCCCAGAGTTCAGGCCCCACAACAGACAAAAAAAAAAAAAGACAATGAACTACTTTTTAACAGTCCAATAAATGCTATTTCAAAAGAAAACCTGCGGGAGTTCACACGTAGGCAATGTAGAACCCAGTAGATGATGAAGCCACAACCACTAATATTCTCTGCAAGAGTGAATTACCCCGCTGCATTCACACCTGTAATCCTAGCTACTCAGGAGGCTGAGATCTTGAGAATCCTAGTTAGAAGCCAGCCAGGGAAAATACATCCAAGAGACTCTTATCTCCAATTCACAAAAGCTGGAACTGGAGGTCGGGCTTAATTGGTAGAGGGCCCACTAAGTAAGAGAGAAGATGGTTCTGAGTTCAAGTCCTGGTACTGACATAAATAAATAAATAACCTACAGGTATAAGATAGAGGTAGGATAGAAAAGCGCATGCTAGGGGAGGGGCAGAGCACAGGTGAACCATACCTTCTATTTCTCCTCCAGGAGCAGAGATTTTTGACATACCGAGGTAGGTGGTAGACACAACATCATTGTGAGTGAGGCGGTCCCTAGAACAAGAAAGCAGAGAGGGCCTGCACATGGGAGAAGCATGCAGGCCACAGCCCACTCAAGGACAAAACTGCCTCAGTTTACATCATTGAGGCAAGGGTCTCAGACAACATCGTGTATGTTACTGAGGCCTGGTATTCCAGGGAAGAAGGGACTGGAAGGGAAGCTTGCTCTACGTCTTCCTCGAAAGACCTAGTCCCCTAGTCCAGTGCCCCAACCATCAGACATCACATTGGCCAACTACCCCTGGGCCACCAGTCTGGCTCTCTGTAGGCAGACTGCAGGTTGACAGGGAGGAGGCCTGAAGCAGGCAGGATGGGAAGCAGAAGGGTGCTTGGGGAACCCAATTCCCAGAACAGGGCAGCTGAGGTTTCCAGGAGCTAATAAATTAGCAAGATCAAGGAGGAGCTCAGATGACCAGATCAAAACCCTCTCCAGAGCCACAGTCTTGAATTAGCCAGTGCTAATTGCCGCTGCATTGCTTTCAGAATGTGCCTTTGGATGTGACAAAGCCCCTGAACTTCCATCCTGCAGGAGTTTCACCACAGCCTTGAGCAACAAGTACTTGTCTTAGCACCTCTGCTCTCCAGGCAAAGAAGATGACATGCAGGCATGTCTCCATGGTCAGACCCGGGAGGAAGGAGCAGAGCCAGGACTGCTCACCCCTTTCCTGGTCTTGTCCTGTGTCATCACACATACTGCTGCCTGATAAAGCTCAGGACCACCGTGCTTCTCTGAAGAAAGACTTCTTCCCTCCCCCACTATCTTAGAGGCCTATGAGTCGGGGATGAGGAATAATAATCTGTTAGCCACTTTTCTCCTACGCAGACCCTTCCTGTGGACCCCACACTGCCTTCCTTGATGATAATAATAAATACTAATAGCTAGCAGTGACCTCTGAAGACAATCATTGAACTAAAAGCATCCCACAACTTAGCTAGCTTTTAGCAGGTAAGCCTTACAGCTAGCCCCAATTTTAGAGGATGCTGAGGAGGGTGAAGAAGTTTAATTCATTTGCAAAGGTCCAAGGCCAGATACGCCTGACATGGAAACCAGAACTTTGATTACAGACAGCCACCTGCTGCTCACTGGGCAAGCTCACACTTGTGGCTCTTGGTCTGGTAGTTCTGATTTCCCTGAAAACATTTGTCTATATCTGGAGACAGATTTGGTATGAGAAGAGGGTTCTGCCAGCATCTGGTGGGCAGAGGCCAGGGATTGCACAGAACAGGATCCACAGCAAAGCCCAAGGCTATCCACCCAAAGGTTGAGATTGAGGAACCCTGCAGCCCCATGGCCTCCCAGAAGAGTGCTTCCAGCCCCTCCCATCACCATTTCTGTGTCTCTTCTCTCTGCTTGTGGACTTCAGCCATAGACAGCTTTCAGAAGATGCATCTTGCCCCATTATAAAAGACACGTCAGAACAGGTGGTTTTATTTCTCTTATTTTACTGTTAAATCCTAGCTCTGAGAGACACCCCCTCCAGCCTCTTCCAATCCCTTCCTCTGCGTATTTCCCAGCATGGTAATTGAGTCCTGATTTTGAATTTTTCACCGGGACATGAGACAAAGAGCACAAATCTGTACCTCTGGTCTTGGTGAGGGACGTTAACCAGAACTAGAAAAAGGAAATTTCCTTGAGAACTGATACCTGATAGTGTGTGTGTGTGTGTGTGTGTGTGTGTGTGTGTGTGTGTGTGTGTGTGTGTGTGTGTGTGTGTGTG